TTGGGCATTCGCCTTCCGTTATTATTACGCTTGTTAATGCAGGAGAGCCTGGAGCCTCAAGGATCCTTTTCGAGAGGGCCTTGCGCCAAGTTTTCACGGGGCGACAGCAGCGGGCGTGACGATTGCTCTGTTTGCCAATAGAGTCAATTCAGAACAATTCTTCTAAATTGGACCATGACGGCAGCACACAACGGCCCGACCTTCTTCGCGCAACCGCCTACCCAGGCATCTTTAACATCCGCTGTGAAGCGGACGCAAGAATACTTTATGCCGAACACAACGGCAGCGTTGACCGGGGGGCAGACTGCCGGATTCGAATCGCGAGGAGCGGCGGCGATAACGCGCGTGACCGCGTCGACCGCTTTCGAAAGAAGAATTTGACTCGCACGGTTAAACTGAACTAAAAACAAAACTTACGTTTATTTTAGCAGGTAAGGCCCACTGAGCTAATTTTCAGAAGCCACCCGGCTACCACATAATGATAGCTCAACGAAGTGGCTTATCATCACGTGGAAATTCACGGCAGCCAAATACTCTAGACACGTGACGTTGTTTCTAAATGTGGAGGGAAAAAAAGGAGGACCCGGAGAAAAAGCCACACGACCACAGGGAGAGAGACGCAAACTCCAAATATACAGCAAGCGTCAGGGTCGGGATTGAACCCCACGACCCTCCTGCATACCAGGTGAGGTAGTAAACATCTCGTCAATGTGGTTGGCTGCATACAGTGCAAAATAAGTTCAACAGACAGACATACGAGAATTAACCACGTGTGGTTAATCCTCGTGTAGGCGTAAAGCGGCAACGTCACCAGCGAGCTTCGCTCCTCAAACACGCCGAGAGTCCCAACGTGACCCCGCTATTTGGGACGATTTGGCCCACACGATGGCACTCCTCATCTGATGGTTTAGTTTCCTTGTGGAGGGAGGGCGGGGGTTCTTCCTCCTCCTCCTCCGCACGCCAATTTCCAGGCTCAAGTGCATCCCGAGAAATTCACTCAAACTCGCGGCGTCCATCACGGCTGCCGGAAAGCCGGGCGAGCCCCAACGGCGAGAAATCTCGATCCACTCCGGGTTTACAAAGGGATGCTTTCTTCCTACTCCTCCTCCGACGACGACGGGGGCCTTCTCCAAAATAAATTAAAAAAATACTTTGCGCCGGATTAATAAAGGACAACCCTGACGGCTTGTCAGCGTTGTCCCAGCTTTGTGCGAACTTTTTTTTGCTTACCTCCCCAACCCCCGTGAACTTTCCACACTTAATTAATGAATTTTAGCGGTGAGATCATGATAATAAAACGTAGCCGATGATACGATCAAACCTTGCTCTCCATCTTCATTCTCTGTTGGTTCTTTAGCCTCAATTGGTGGGGACTGATTTCAGCTGCCGATTGCATTCAACCCAGATAAGGGCAACAAAAAATAAACCGAAGTGAGTGCGGCATAACGTTACCATGGCCCTGGGTGCTGTGCGGTGTGGCCTCAACGCTGCGGCCTTATTATGCATTTAATATCGTCGAGTTTTCACCCTCAAACGTTTTTCCCCCCACCAACAGCGACCAGCCAAAAAAAACGAGCCGTAGATCACTTTCCCCTTGGAGCGCGGCTCCGCGCAGCGTTTCGCTCACTCGCTCGAGACGGAACGGACTCGGGGAGGCGCGAGGAAGGAACCACGATGACAAGCGGTGAAGCACAGCAGAAGACGCTCGGCTGAGCCGCCGTCAACAATTGCCCAAGATCTGCGGTCATCTATATCTTAAGATGTTTTCAGCCAATTAATGATAGCGCACGTGCGGGGACGAAACCCGAGTGCCCGGAGAAAATCCACACGCATGCAAGGGGGCAACACTGTACCCCCTACAGACGATCTAGCAGAACCACTGTGTGTCGAAAGAAAATACCGAAATGTCCTTGGCTATCAATTATCACCACTCTTAGCCCACAGAGGACCCCAACCAACAATGTATGAACTGGAGCGCCGATTAAAGAACCTAAAGCTAATTTTTACGACGTAATTAAGGTTATTTTCTCTTAATTTAAATAAACGGACACCATTTACCTCTCAAAAACTTCTGAGATCCCCACGAGCGTGTGCACGCAAGCGATCATGTGATTGCATAATTAAATGAGTTGAAACAAAAAAAGCGAGAGAGAGAGAAAAGCATAGACGCGCTGTTTCGCAGACGAGCAAATCATGCAATTTGGAGAGGAATTTGCTGCGTCTGGGCAGCGCAGACGTCTGGCAGCTGAGGCCTGCCAATGGCCCGGGGTCACCCTCTGTTTATTTTGACAGCCTCATAATTAAAGCCTCGAGGTCACACGGGGCCATGAGCACCGTGCGGAAGCTCATATCAGGAGCAGCTGTCCCCCTCCCCCCACCAAATTTCAACACCCCCCCCCCCTTTCCCACCCCCCCCGCAACCAAACCCAGCTCAGCTCCCCACCCCGTAATTACGACCCCAAGTACCCGCGACTTACCGGTCCCTGCCACCACAGGCACGCTGTTGGCAAGGCCACATCGAGGATTAGGGCTTTCAGCTCTGAGGTACACAGAAGCTGGGAGTGTATCCATGGCAAGAGGAGCAGAGAGCATCTCGCAACCCTGGGAAGAGTTGAGAATTACGAGTGCGGCGTGCAGCCGTCTCTGGTGTTTCATTGTGCAACTGATACCAAACAAGAAAAATAACCGGGGAGTTTTAATGTCCCCGTGGAGAGTTGTAGATTCACAAGGACCGACTTACTTCGATGAGAGAACGCTCATGGGACAATTAGGAGTGGCTATAATCCTAATCAGAGCTGAGGGGGCTCTGTGTGAGTCGAGCGTATTGCCATCAGGGCCCAACGAACTAAAATACTTCAAAATTTCTCGAAAAAATTCGGTATTTTCTTTCAGTTGATCATGCAGGTTAAGCTTCTTCCTGACCAGTGTTTAACAGCAGCATTTTCTTGAAGTGGTCACACTTCATCTGAACCGGATTTGGCCTTGTAGATCTCATGGACAGAGTCCAGGCCACTTTATTTTAAGAGAGGTCTGGCAGACCTTGAATAAAGGAATCGTTTGCACAACGGTGGTTGATGCTGTGGGTTATTAAAGGGGTCTGTCTCCACGTGTCAAATTGTGTTGGGCCTAGTGTAGGCTCTATAGACCCATGTTAGGCCACTCACATTTGTAGGTTTGATAAAAAAAACATACAAGATAGCAGCAACCTTAGGGTGATAATCACATCTGAGTAAGGCCTTACCTTTTTAACACTCTTTTTGTTGCAGTGCAAAGGAAGGTGGTGACGATAAACGTTTGCATTGTTTCTTTTTACGTTGTTGATGTTGTTGCACCTTTGAAAACCGTGCACTATCATTTCAACACCATTTCTGCACGACCACAGAGGGGAAGGATGCGTCATCTTTTACAGTGACTGGAGACTTCGCAAAGGGACATTGTCCCTGGCACCACAACATCACCTGCCTCTGTCTCTCTCTCTTTCTCATGCCACCTTGTTTTTGAAATTGAAACACATTCTACGGAGCTGGCGGACACTGCTCTCACGACGCCCACAATGCCGCGCGGACAATGTTACCTGTCGTCTCCCTTTTGTCGCCTTGCCTTTCATTGTTTTAGGAACTCGCGTGAACGGGCGGCCGTGGCGGCCATGGCAGCGTGAAACATCTTTCATCCCGGGCCGCTCCCCCCCCCCCCTCCTCCCTCTTGGATGTTTCCGTCGAGGCGTGAGGAGGTGAATGACTCAAACTCAAAGCAAATGTTGCGATGGACGTGTAACATAATGTCACTGAACACCTGAGGGGAACTCGGAGATTCAGGGGTCAGGTGAAGCTAGTTAGAAAGCGACAACAACGTCTGGTTCGCTGGGACCTCGGCAAAATTTGATTTAGAGTATTTGGCTGCTGCTAGAAATGTCCACGCGATAAGCCACTTCGTTGAGATATTATTTGTGGCCAGGTCGCTTCGGAAAAAGAGCTACATCGCTCAGTGGGCCTTACCTGGTAAAATTAAAAAAAATAGTTTAGTTTTAAATAGTGCAAAGCCTACATTTAAAATGAGAAGGTTTTTTTTTGCACAGTCGTACGTATTATGTTGGACTTCTTTCGCACCGTATGTAGACAAAACCGTGCTAAATCGGAGGTGCGTTAATGAGTGGGCTCAGACCATCACCTCATGATGATTCACATCTCAGTGTCAACACAAGAGTGGCCAAAACCCAGACTCAAATCCCAGGATCTAAGGGGGTGTTTGTCAGCTCTGTGGTCTCTGGGCCACACAGCCACCTCCTCTAAATGTTCACTCTAAAAAATAATGTGCTTATAAAATGATGAGAACAAGAAGACAAGGAAAACGACGGATGGTTGCCAGGAAGATCACACCGCTCGTGTCGTACCGCGCGTCGTTCGGTAGTACGTCCGACGTTTCGCTCCACATGCTGGGGGAGCTTCTTCAGGAACTGCACCGAGCAGCTCATGTTATCACCACGACTCTACGGCGCTACCGGCTGCCGCTGGTGTTTCCGGGTCTTGACTCTCGATAGGCAAGAAAGTGAGCAGCTCAATTCGGTTCGTAAAGAAGCTCGCCGGCACGTGGAGAGAAGCGTCGGACATCATGCAGAATAACGCGCGGCACAACCGGAAACACAACAGAGAACGGCACAGAAGAGCTGGGGGAAAAAAAAACTGACGTAGCAGTAGGCTTTAATTATTTCCATACCTTCATGATGCACCACAGCCAAGGTAGTTTTGGAAGAGACGAACCCATTTGGCTGGCTCATTGGTAAAGCGCGCCAACCATCAAAACATGATCACAAGTACCCTCCGATACATTCTCACGCTAAGCCGCCGGTTGATCAGCCCAACGTGCAAAACGTCGCGGAACTCAAGAAGCTCCCAAGCACGCGGCACGCTAAAACGTCGGAACATCCACGACAAACGACACGCGAGGGTTCGGCCGCGAACGCCGTAGCCACCGCTCGCACCGCTCACGCCGTCCGTGCTCACCTCCCAGCAGCGGCGGAGGTCGTCCAGGTGCTGGGTCCGGGCAGCGTGGGGCGGGTATGGCCCGTAGCGCTTGCCTGACGCGATGCCCCCGCGTGCCCACACGCGCAGCCCCGCGCCGCTCTCGCTCGACTCGCGCACCTCCAGCTCCCGGGGCACCGGCGCTTCGTCCACCACGAACACCTGGGTCGCCGAAGCCGCCCCCCCCACTGCTGCCGCCTTCGATTGCTCTGACACTGCCTGCTGCTGCTCCTGCTGGTGCTCGTGGTGGTGCTCGTGGCGATGCTCGTGGCGATGCTCGTGGTGGTGATCATTGTGCAGCCGATGCTGTGGTAGTGGCGGAGGAGTGAAGCGATCGTGAGCCTCCGGTTCGGAGGATTCGACGAGAACCGTCCGGCCGATATCTGCTCTGCCGTTGCCGCTGTTGTTGATGTTGTTGATGTTGTCCTCATCGTTGTCGTGGTCTTCGTCGTCATCGTCGCAGTGCTCGTAAGCGACCTCCTCCGACACGGCGATGACGTCGTTCATCATCTCGGCCGCTGTGGGGACACGGAGGGTGGTGCAGAGTTTGGCTGTCAATTCGGAGATGCACGGCATGAAGGTGGTGGTATCAGAGGGTGGTGGTAGGCAATCAGGAGCGTGATTATACAATCATTATCAGCAATTATGCATCTACTGCTGGATGGAAGCTTCCGCAAGCCGTCCCCCATCGCTCACGATCTTGTGATGTGACAATCTACCTATAGCATATAAACTTGAGCCAATTTAGTAGCTCCGGGAGATGTCCTCTTAGGAATGGTCCGTCCTTTAGCTGCCAGTCCATCACTATTCTCAACCATCCCTTCCAGCGACGTCTTCAGCTAAAGCCCACTTACTTAAAAAAAAAACAGTCATAATTATTACGTCTTCAAATTGTGCTTATTCTCAGAAACGTCTCCGAACACTCGTGCACAATACAACGTGGATTTATATACCATATAAATATGACCCCATCTTTAAGATGCTTTACAGAAACAGTGGGCACTTATTTTGTAGACAGAGAGAGTGGCAGCCAGTGAGAGATGGACCACAAAAGGGCAAGGTCTTGAGCCTGAACTTGAACGGGGTTGGGGGGGGGGAGTCGAGAGCATGGGTGGCTGTGGGAAGGCAGTTGACGAACATTGGCCCAGCAGAGCAAAAGGAGGGTGCCCCGGTTACCAGGAATTCTCAAGAATGATTTATATAATAAACAGAGGAAGTCACTATGTGTTGAGCAGGCTAATGGGTGCAAAAAGCACAAATCACCAGCCTCAACCAATATTATAAATAATAATATTTTACAGTCCTTAATCAATTCACTGCTGGATGAACAGGATATTTAACTCAAACTGGTCATTGAGTCAAGTCAGCTTGACTCTACTTGTAATAGATAATAACTATAAACATTGGCCCACAGTTTTGCTTGCGCTGATGGAATGTGTAAAATAATAATTGTATATATGTGCGTAAAGGGACAGATGGGATCTAGAGGTAGTCTTCTGATTATTCTCCACAACGACGCTCAGAATTGTCGTGATGTGTATTAAAATGGTGTGGATTCATAAATGCAACATGGCTGACAATTTCACAAACATATTCGTTACATTATTTTTTTACATTTCTCAGATGCCTGCCTATGACTGCGTTGAATGCACCCCTTTGTGACTATCACTCGTTGGGAATCGCACCGCAAAGTCTTTGCCTCATTCCACACGTGTGCGGTCGTCTTCATTATATTCTGTGTCGCGCATTTAATTTTGTCTTTGGTTTTCGATGCCGTTATGAAGTTTGACACGTGGTTTCTCTTGGGAGTGGGCGGAGGGATAAGGGGGAAGAAGGAAGCTTTTAAGTCTCACCGGGAAATAATGTTGAATTATTAAAACAAAAGACATCAAGCAAAACGTTCATATGGAAACGTACGAAGCGGTTAGGGCAAGCGAAAAATACGGGCGAGAGAAGCAGATAAACCGTGAAGCCGACAGGGGTTGCCGGTGCCACGTGGGGTGGAAAATGTTACTCAACTAAAACTAAAACATTTTTGTATTTGTTTTACCTGGTAAGGCCCACTGAGCTATGTAGCTCTTTTTCAGAAGGGACCTGGCCACAAATGATAGTGCAATGAATCGGCTTATCATCATTTGGACATTTATAGCAACCAAATACTCTAAAACACGTGATGTTGATTCTAAATGTGAAGGTAAATAAAACCGGAGGACCCGGAAAAAAAGTCCATGCGACCACGGGGAGAGAGACACGCAAACTCCAAATATACAGCAGGCATCAGGGTTGGGATTGAACCCACGACCTTTTGCATACCAGGTGAGGGAGATAACGTCACCACCGTAGAGCCCAAACTCACCATGGGTGATGCTCACATCTAAAACGCTCAGTAAGCTTCGCGTTTTACAGACACACTTCATATCTCGTCTCATATTCCGTAGACATTTCATATCACTCTGTTTTTTGTTGTTGTTGTTGTTGTACAATAATGCCCTCCTTTAAATAACATTCCTCTCATAAGCAGCTGCCACGGCGACCCTTTGCCATCATAAATATACGTGACCTATAAATGAAACGCTGCAAGAAAAGTCACCGTTAGTATTTGCCACGCGATTGTGGTAGCAAGGAATCATTGTTGGCCCAATGGCTCAATGAAGGACGAGGGGAGTCATTTGTCAGAGGTTGCCAGACGGAATCATTCCAGCTCCCTTTCAACTGTAACCTCCTACTGGACAGCCTGATTTATTCCAGCTCCCTTTCAACTGTAACCTCCTACTGGACAGCCTGATTTATTCCAGCTCCCTTTCAACTGTAACCTCCTACTGGACAGCCTGATTTTGAACGTGTTTACTCGTGCATCGCACGACCCAATAAACACTCGCAGCAGATTCATCGGAAAATTAACATCTACACACACACAGTCGTGTGGGGCATAGGTGACAGGCCAGAGAGGCAACTCTGCGGCATTAAAAGCTTGTTACAGCAATCTCAGAGGGTGAATTGGAAATTACAAATATTTATTCCATTTCAACGAAGCCAATTATGCAAATATCTTAAAGTGCTGCGTCCATTTAACTTCAATTAAGTCGCTGCTTGTTGGAAACGCACTACTTTTGTTACAAATCCACGGCCCTGCTCTAGATTCCTCCCCCCCCCACCCCCAAATCGGAGCACAACTTACGCGAACAAGTAATGTGAAAAAAAACAAATTGACGGGATGACTCAAAAAAATAGAAAGCCCTCGTTTCTCTCCCACTCTGTGAAATATTGATGGGCGCGCTGGCGAGAGCGGCCGACTGTTGATCGCCGGCAGCGACGAGGTTTTTTAAAAAAATTTGTCTGCTTCTGCTGCGTGGCCCTCCCGCTAGGCCCCCATCCAGCCTGGCGGTGTCAGGGATCGTCGCGGCCTCAAGACGACAACGAACAGATTAAGATCTCCGGCTGACACGCCGGGGGCGGGGGGGACGAGACGTGGCGCGGCGGGTGGGCCGCCTACGCCAGAGAGACGCACAGCGTGCGAGAAAGTGCCGGTCTTTGCGAGCCGGGGACAAAAAAAAACCCCGTGGAACAATTAACGTGACAAGTGAGAAAGACGCAGATCTATACCCCCCCCCCCTCCCGACCTCCACCCCCCCCGCTATGAGCAAAGTCGGCGGTCCATCTTTGCAGACTTCTCAGCCCCTGCCATCAAGCCGAGCAGCGAGCATCTGACAAGATCCACATGGGGTGAGCCGTTAGGGTTGGGGTAAGAGCGGCGTGCATCGGAGGGGAAAAAAATGAGAAGTTTCAAACTGAATGTTCTTGATAAAAGCAAATTAAGTTAAAGTTTCAACGTTCGGGTGAAACGCACTACGACAAGACTTAAAATAAATGTTTTAAACGTTATTCACTTAGGATCGGTGGGGGGGGGGGGGGGGGGGGGGGGTGGTCAGGGGTGGGAGAGCGGTGGTGCAGTGGTTAGCATACTGCCCCATGGCCGTGGTGATCCCGAGTTCGAGTCCTGGCCCATAGATAAGGTAAGGGATGTTTTGAACCAGTCCTGCCTCCCTGGCCCCAACTGACCCAGGGTGGTGAAGTATGGTCAAACAATCCCAATTACCTACTCGCGGAAGCTTTCATCCAGGATTGGATTGACAAAGGGCTGTAATTTGTTTTAATATACATTTGTAAAATTATTATGATAAACAAAAATGTTTTAAATTATGATCACAACTCCGATTAGCACGGTTGACTATGTATGGTGCGATAGAAATTGAACATACAAACATTACGACTTGTATCACTAACAAAGAATGACAATAATAGGCACGTTGCTGTGCCAAGCTGTGCGGCCTCAAGACCTCGTGTGAGTGAACTCCTTTGAATGGTCTCCACTGTGGCGAGATGTTAACTACCTCGCCTCGTATACAGGAGGTCGTGGGTTCAATCCCAACCCTGAAGCCTGTATATATGGAGATTGCATGCTCTCCCCGTGGTCACGTGCGTTTTTTTCCGGGTCCTCTGCTTTTCCCCCTCCACATGTATAAGCTTGCGTTTTAGAGTATTTGGCTGCTTTAAATATCCACGTGATAAGCCACTTCATTGAGCTATCATTTGTGGCCAGGTCGCTACTGAAAAACAGCTAAACAGCTATATAGCTAAGTGGGCCTCACCTGGTAAAATAAAATAAAAATTGTTTGTAGTTTAGATTAAATTAGAAGAGATTAGGACATGAGGTTGGTCACACAAAGATGGTGCTATATCGCATGACATATTGAGGAGTTTTACGTTTGCCTGATATTCGCACATAGTGCTTTACTCGATTAGGTGGCGAATAAGGACATCAGTGGCATTTTAAAGTCTGTATTAATCGACGGAACAATACGTAGTGGCTTTTGGCCGGCTATCGAACAATGACGGCCACCGCATCGCGAGCTTTCAGATGCACTTCTTCCGGCCGTCTGGAACGTTCTTCTTTCCGATATTAGGAAACCACTGGAGCTGTGCACTTTTAAATCTAGATTTAAACCTCATTTATTTATAACTGCTTTTTGTGTTTAGTTTGTTGTCCTTCCCAAGCACCCCCAATTAGCAAGGTTGGCAACGTACTGCGCAAAATAAGTTCAACATATATATTTTCTTGTTACCAATATCGTAAAAGAGTTATTGTTTTTTGTGAATTCTATGGTTCTTATTAAAATCATTGACAATTGCTCACAGACGTCCAGGCAATGTTTAATCAGCAATGTTAATGCTTGGACCAAGTGTGATTGTGTCACATAGCAGAACAGGGCATATGAATGTGGCGACCTGAGTTCAATTCCCCGCCATGGCTAATGTCAGCGGTCAGTGATACCTGAACGGATCTTGGGCAAACCCTTCAATCTACAAGAAACCAACGTGATGAGGTAATGGTCAAACAACCACCTATAACCAAACAGGGTAAGGCGATTCCTTTATCCAGCAGTTTATTGGCTTAGTTATTATAATTATTATATTTTAAACATACAATACAGATAATGCATTGATTATTTTCCCAACT